CTGGGAGCCGAGAGGAGCTCTCTGACTCCCCCCCCCCCTCCTCCTGCTTGCATCTTCAGCCCCTGCCCCTTTGCACTTGCTGAGGGTCAGTCCCTAAAAATAATTCGGAGACTCAGACTCCTCAGACTTCAGCACCCAATCACCCCGCAAGGTCAGCCGCCCAGCTGGAGCTCTCGGCCAATTTTTTTGGGGGGGTTGGTTCGGTTTGGTTTTTTAAAAATATTCTGGTGCTATTTTTATTTCTGCTGAGGGATCCAAACCCCAATAGGTTTTGTCTTGCTTCCCCCCCCTCCCCTTTCCCTCCCCCCTTATTTTGCCAAGGATCAAGAGCGCTGTGAAAGTGCCCAGGCTTTGCGGAGTTAGGGACGGGGTCCTGGCGTGGCTGCAAAAGGGCAAGGGGAACTTGGCTGGAAGGCACTGATCCCTGTGTGTAGCTGCTGCCCCGGCTGGCGCTGTGCCTCCCTCAGCTCCCCCTGCTCTTCCAGGGAGCTCAGAAGTTCATTCAGGCTTCCCGGCTGCCTGCTTTTTTGGGTCCCCAGGGTGCCAGGAGCAGCCCCCATGGCACTGCTTCCCCTAAATGCTGCACAGAGTCAGGGAGAGAGGGACAGACCGACCCAGGAAAGGAGGGAGAGAGAGAAAGAGAGGCGCTTCCCCCCTCTTCCTCTCCACCCTCTTCCTCCTTCCTTAAACATTTCTGTGAGTGATTCACAAGAGCCAAACAGGCCTGGTGGAAACCTTGCATGCCGGCGTTGGGGAGGGGGATTGTTCTTCTCATGTCTTTTCACTCCCTCTAGCCTCCTTGCTTCCCTGACGTTGTGAATTTGCCACATGGGGCTGGGAGAGCACGTTTCCTCTGTTTGTGTGGTAGTGCCAGAATCAGTGGACATGGACTTAGACCATACCCACAAAGCAGGCATTTGCGAGCACAATGAGGGAGGATTAGGGGAAGTGTGGAAAGTGCGTGCAGACCAGACAAGGTTCCTTAGGCAGCTGTGGTCTCTTTTATTAGACCGAATAAATAGTTGGGAAAACTGTTTTTTTGCAAGCTTTTGGGTATAAATACCATCCTTCACAAATGCAGCGCATGTGGATCTCATCTTGATGGCCCACCCTTCTGGCTCTAAGCATGAGGGGTTTTGGGTTTTTTTGAGAAGTGATCTCATGTTCAGATCTAAAATATGACCTGCCTGCCAGGATTATTTATTTATTTTTGCCCTGAACATTCACAGGAGCAAGTGGTCTGAGGCTATATTTTGAATTGCTGCAGGGGAAGCTCTCTGATTAGTTGGTCTAGCGGCGTGGTTTTTCGCAGCACC